TGAAACCAGCGACAAACCGTTCGCTCCGCCGCAGTGCCTTCTCCCCACGTAACATTGATGTTTGTAGCTGCCTCCATCGCAGTTCGACCAAGTTCGAACTCGTGAAGTAAAACCATTCAAAAAGTAGTCTTATCTATTCTGCCAAGAAAAACCTCCTAAAAATTCCAAAACCTTACAGATTCTGGGGAAAGCGCTATGACAGAAAGAGCAACTAATGACTTGCTTCAGGAGCACAATATGACCATTAACTTGAATGAACATCCGCCAAAATTTTAATTCATATGGCACATACGTGGGAACGGCCAGAACTTTGCTTACAACCTAATAGAAGTATCGTAAGTCCAAATTTAGGGTAAGAGTGAACTGTACCCCTTCCACACTATTCAGGTTACTCTCTATTTTGTAAGGTTTTTGGTAGAGCTGTATTTTTTAACAAAGAGTTTGCAAAACTGTTTTTGCTTGGACAAAACCAAAAGAATCACATGGTCATGGTAAGACAGAAAAAAAGCTCGAAACTAAACAACGGAGACCTACCGGAGCTGCTCGAACTGTTGCTGGATTCCTAGGTTGAATCGCATGAGTACAAATATTATATGTCACCAGTAATATAAACTTTCCACTAAAATGTTGAGTTCTGCGGCTTCTGCATTTAACAAGATTGCACTGCCTGGTGAATACCACCTGTGAACATACCGCAGGTGCGGGAGACTAAAGTGATCACAAAAAAACTGAGCCTCACTGGCAACAAAGAGGTCACCGTGCATGCATACTCACATTTTCAGAAGCACTGACGTGATTCGATTGGAAAAAAAANAAAAAAAACATTTATCCACTGTCTAGCCCAAAACCTGAAAAAAGGAGAGGCAAAATTATTCAAACAGCGAAAAATCGTCATAGTTTTATGAGATAGCAGGTGTAAAGGCACAGCTTGAAAGAGTCATTCTTTCAAAAGCCTCTGATGACTTATTTGGATATTTGCACATCATCAGCTGAATCCTCTCTGCTGTCATAGATCAACGCCTAAATCCAGAATATAAGGCAGCCAGACGGTGGAGAAGCTCAGCTCCCCTTCGTTGTCTTCCCCGTTGAAGTTCGATTTCCTGAGTACAGTTCATAGTCACTTGTCTTCAACTTCCTCTTTTCTTCTGCGGCTCTCAAAGTATTACTAAAAAAGCATGTTTCAGAATGAAACTTCTCATTTTACTCTTCATTACCATCACAGCCGCCCACCACCTGTTCCCTTTGGAGGAGCTTCATCATCCACCATTTCTGAATGATGTTAGCCGGAAGGCTCAAAAGCACTACTATAAAATCCTCTTCAATGAAAAATTGTCCATAGCTGAACAGAAGGGAATGATCACGGTCTGGGCCAAGAAAAACAATGTTACGGTAGGTGAAATGGCTAAGTCAGGAAGCCAATCATTTCGTTATGAGAGCTTTTGGACCACTTCAGGAAGAAGTCAAGAGCTTCTACGGCAGAATAGGGAAGCGCATGGAGGAAACGAACGAAAAATTAGCCAAGCTGATTGGCGCCTTACCAATGGCTCTTAAGAACTTCACTGCAATAATGAAGAACGAGAACCAAACGGTGCCTCAGATGATGATGGCTGTGGAAGCATTGAAGGCTGAACACCCATCGGTAAGGACTATTGGCTACAGTATCTGATTACAGTACCTGCCCGAGGTTTTGCTTGTTAGAAATTTTCTAAGAGGCTTGCACATTCTAGGTGTTCCATGTACTGATGTCTGCTATGAAAGAAGTCATGCATGAACATGGTCCATATGGTCCACACGAACCCCATCCATGGACGCATGGAGAACCTTTTCCATTTGATGGTCATAGGCCATGGTTCCACCATTGGGAAATGCCTTGGCACAGAAGACCGGTTGCTGGCCCTTTCGGTGGAAGATGGAACAGTGAGTCAGAGCACGAAGCTTCTCCATTCGGTCGAGAAGATCACTGGAACAAAGGAAGATGGCACCATGAGCGTTTCGATGGTTCCATGCCTTCAATGGATTTCGGAATGCTCTAGAGTAGCCAGCTCAATCCAAGTACGGTATCAAACAGTTTTGTTATGATGTTTACACCTTTCAATTACAGAAAACCTTCAATTGAATCTGAACCTATTCCAGAGCTCCATGAATGAGGCGGCGCAAAATTCAACATCCTCTTACTGTATCCTCTTGTTCCAATTGTCGATGTACGCCGTCTCTTCATACAAATAAACTATTCTTACTCGATTATTCAAATTTACAACCTAGACAAACCCATTTGGGAAGCCTAGATTCTTTCGAATGTGAACATTAGGTGTAAAGATAAAAGGTACTCCACGTGCTCGAAGGCATGGTAGTGGTAAAGAGATGAAATACGATTACCCTGTCCAAGGAGGAGTGCCAAGTAGGGCGTGGCTGAAAAAACAAGAGGGTTCCCTTCTAGGACGATTCGATTCAGTAAATTAGGACCATGAGAACAATATCGGTCTCAGCTAACCAAAAGAGCCGCATCGAATTTGATCACAATACCTGCTTGCAATGGCATACACTGAAGAAGGCTCCACTCGTTCCAGCTAAATACCCTAACCGCTAAACGGTATCCATCGAATGGCGTAAAAAAAAGCAGTCTTGCAAAGATGCTGATCAGCGTTATGCCACTGACCTTATCAGGCAACATGCCAGACCTTTGGGATTCAGGAGAAACGTTCCGAGGAAAAGCTCCAAATGACATGAACCTTCAGACGCTTTTCTTTCGAAGCACAAACCTTCGGACGAGTTTTTCTTTCTCGTGTATACAAATGAAAATGAATTAGATGAGTGTCAAAGGATTCGACATCTGAGTATAGAATTAACAGTCGACGATGATCCCGTGACGGAGTCATCTAAGACTGCCCTTCATCGAGAATTTAAAGAAGAGCGAGTTTCATGGGAAGGCCAGGCATTTTTGGTAAATTCTAAAGAGTATCGATATCTTTCATTTAAGTCATGCTCTTAGGTAGAAGGCCGCTCCCCTCAATTCCGTCTCGAAAAACTGTCGCGTATTTTTGAGAAGCTTACTTCAGCCACTAAATGTGTCACAGAAGTGAGGACTACGTAGTTCCTGCCACGATTGCTGAGCCCATTTTATGGCTTATTGACCGATAGGTGCTGCTCAGATCATCTCTACTCGGCCACCCAAGCAAGTCTCATCGACCACAACTGGTCCGTTTGTCACCGGTAATGGCAGCCATACTTGAACAACCCCTGGAGATTCATTCTGAAACTGACTAGCTATGTTGGCCTGATTTCAAGATTAACAGGACTGGGAATTGGAGGAATGTCAATGTGAAGGTTCAGGCTTTTGCCTGTCTCTGACCATCTGACCCACCGGGTCGATCGCATCGCTCTGGCTACGGCACCAAGTCATAACGCCATTTTCACACCGCCCATGTTCTTGTGCGCTTGTTTCCGATTTCCTCAATTTTTTTTCGGAGTTTCTTCTGTATAACTTTGCCTTCTCCTCTGATTCCACCTGTACTATGATCCAAGTCTTTTTCTTTCCAAAAATAAGTTGGCCATGCTTTTCCCTTTCCTGTTTTTTTTACAATTTTCATTTCATTGTAAGTTCGTATTTCTTGGAAAGCATCATCGCAGCTACAAATGCGCTTCAAAGCTCCAGTTTTTCTTGGTCTCTCCTCTACATTCAGATGTTTGTTAAGGTGTGAGGCCGTTTGGTTCCAAACTCGTGTTGAGGCGATGTTCCTGCCAAAATTACTGAGCCTATCCCATAGTCTATGGACTAATAGATGCTACTCAGGCCATGCTCAGAGTATCTGCTTGTGATTGGTAAGTGCAGTCATCTCTTGAATAACTCTGAAGCTTTTCCTAGATCTCTCTTTCTCTACACATTTACCTTTTTTCCAAGGCCTGAAAGGCTGAGAGTTGGTGGAAATATTATTTCATCGGATAAAGGCAAAAGACACGGTTCACGATAGAAATGGTTTCTGAGTTCTCCCTTTGGAAATACCCAGTGGCCCCAAAGGTAACAGGATGGATCCTTCCACGCTCAAAAAGTCAACAATTAGCACAGTGAGAGCCCCGTTATCGGATCGCTCGGGCTTAGGCACAACTTGATATGAGTATCTCTTTATGAGACTACAGGCATGACCTGGTGGTATCATATGGTGCAATCAAGTAGGTAACTTAAGTTCTGCCGTTGGCGCGGCCCGGTCTTTCATCCTCAGAGCTTGAGTACCGCCACGAGCACCCTGTCCAGTGGCGATACGGTATCTGAGGACCGCCCACATATTGTGTATATAAACCCCGTGAATGTATTATTATGGTCGACCTTTGTACTAGGCGTAATAAACCTTTGTTACACGTCCTAAATTCAACTTTACGTTGGTAATCCACCACAACGGTGCATCGACCGTTGGAAAGGATCCCTTCTGCGCTAGTTTTCCCAGTGAAAGACAGAAGGTAACCACTTTGTTGTGAATACACAATCAACATATTTTGCTAGAACTAGGATTCGTAGAAATGAGTGATAACATCATAATTCAATTTGTTTACCTTGGGATATTATTTAGATAAGCATCTCTTGAAACGATACAGCAGGCATGACCTGGCGGTATCATAAGTGTGCAATCAAGTATGNTTGTGAATACACAATCAACATATTTTGCTAGAACTAGGATTCGTAGAAATGAGTGATAACATCATAATTCAATTTGTTTACCTTGGGATATTATTTAGATAAGCATCTCTTGAAACGATACAGCAGGCATGACCTGGCGGTATCATAAGTGTGCAATCAAGTATGTAACCTAAGCACTGCCGTTGGCGCGGTCCACTCCTTCATCCCCCGAGCTTGAGTACCGCCACTGTCCCCCTACGGTCCAGAGGCGCTACGGTATCTGAGGACCGCCCACATTTTCTGTATATAAACCCCATTGAATGCTTTATTATGGTCGATCCTTATACTAACACGTTGTAATAAACATTACACGTCACTGGTTAAGACTTCCATTGGCTAACTAGCCAAACACTTCATCAATCAGCCGAATTTGTTCAACAGTCCTCTTTGAGGAAGCCAAATCTAGCAAATCTTTGACTATATCACTGGTCAAAACTCGAACTTCCATTCTGATTCCTTCCTGAGGAATACAGAAATCAGACTTATTCTTCTGTGCTAGCTTTCCCAGTGAGAGTCAGAAGGACATTTCTAATTTGTCCCACGGGTCGGAAACAAAAAGTCCTTTCAAGCAGTTTTCGTCTAGTAAGAAACGAAAGGCAATCTTCAAGTCTCCTGCATTTCCTCCAGAAGGAAACAGAGCTTGAAAATGAAGACCCACCAAGTTTTTTATCTTCTTCTTTAGCAAAACTAACTCCTCCAAGCAAACTGGAAAGTAATTGGGAAATTTCCCTGCGAGTCTTTTAGAAAGAACCGAGAAACAAGCCCCACTAGGAAAGCACTCCTTGTGAATCTGAAAATCACTCTGCGTCCTCCTTTGGTATCGCAAGATGGCAAGGATGCACTGTCAAACGAAAACGTGCGGGATATTTCCTACGTCATCATGGATTTCATTCAAACGATCTCACAAAAGCAGGATCGCATGGAAGACCGACTTCGACGAATTGATGAGAGGGCCACTGCTATGGAACGCTTGCTGTAACGAGGTACTCTGAAAGTGATGGCCCCTTCAGTCGATGCTCAGTGTCCGCCGTAGCACCCATACGCTATTGTGAAGTATGCTGCATGGCCAACGTCAGGGGTCCGAATTTCGAAGCAGACGAAAGCCTCCGCCTGTCAGCTAGCCACGTCGACAGCGTTTATAAGACGAAAGCCATATGTAAAAATGTCACTGTATTCAGTGAATGAACTGTAATTTTAGTTGTTTTATTTTATATCTATGTGTTATTGTTGTTATACGCAACTATAACTCCATGTAATCCATTCCCGAGAACTACAATATGTTATTTATAGTGAATGAACTCTTAATAGTGTAAGTGCAATTTAGCACAAGAAACCTTGCTTAGCCCCTTTTGTTGAATACATCTATGTAGCTACTACTACTTTTCGCCCTGCCCCAGTGTTACGGATTCACAACCATATCTATGCTTACAATAGAACTAGCCTTTATAAGAATGAGTGATGACATGCTACCGCCGTAACCTTAAGCATAACTTGACATGAGTATCTCTTGAGATGACACGACAGGCATGATCTGGCGGTATCATAAACGTGCAATCATGTAGGTAGTACAATCTTCCTTCAGTAATCCACCAAACAGATTGCAAATTTTCGCCCCAATAGGTTGAAGAAGGTAGGCTATTCCTGCCGTTACTAGGTGTTTTTTTGTTAAATTTACTTTTGAGTAAATGAATTTTTGCTTACCGTAGTCGGCTATTCGCACTAGGACCCACACGTATGCAATGACACACATTGTATAGCTCGTCNAAACGCCCCATTCTTCATTTTTCTAGACTCATTCTCGCTCAGCCCCCTTTTCAATGATTTTTCGAAGCATTTTTTCTCCTAGGAAACACCGATTCACGCAGATTCTTCGCCTTTATCGCACTATTTTTCANCAAACGCCCCATTCTTCATTTTTCTAGACTCATTCTCGCTCAGCCCCCTTTTCAATGATTTTTCGAAGCATTTTTTCGCCTAGGAAACACCCGATTCACGAGGAAACACCAATCCGATTCACGCAGATTCTTCGCCTTTATCGCACTATTTTTCACCATATCTTCTATTTTTCGTTATAATCTGGACTACACAGAATTATCGTGAACTGTGCCTTTAGGTTCACTTTTGGCTTCTTATTCCCCAACTTACTGGCTCGAATCGTCGCACGGAAACATTCAACCAAACTTACCGTGGTTTCCCCTAGATTAGCCTCTCATTCCATCCATTCTGGCATTCAGGGCTCCCGTGTCTACCTATTTGTAACACCCAGCGAGACAAGGCCATCGAAGTTATTGAAAGGAGGCCAAATTATTCAATGTATGTGCTACTGAGAACTTTAACGCCTTTTGGAACTATTTTTCATGACACATCCCACGCTAGTTTCCAAAATTTCCCCATGAATATGTTCAGCTTAGCTTTCGGAACGCCTCCAACTTCGGTGGGAGTCGAACAAGTGATTTCATAGATATTTTTCAGTTCCATGTCTCTTGCCTTGGATGTCGTCAGTAATTGGTTAGATCTTGTCTGTACCCCTATATTCATAGCCTGATGGTGGTCTCGACTTCGAGGCTCCTATAGGACTTAGTGAACCCTTCTCCAAAGCGAGGGGCTGCAGGTGACATTCGACCAGAGTCGGTGAGACTTCACTCCAATAATGTGGCCATGGCTGATATTACTTTCTCAAGGCCTTGGTATATGCAATCAATTTGAATTATCCCCTACTGGATCCCGTGACACAATTCATCTCAAAGAGACACTGCTTTCGAAGTTGGTAAAGATCTGGGCACAGCGTTTCCCTCCAAAAAACTATGGGCCTCTCACATGCGTTTTCAGATTGTAACCGCTGGGTAATAGAGTTTAAAAATATTTATCAGCATAAAGAGGTGACATACATTGGTCAATGGAACAACAGCTTACAATGGAGAAAGTTAACACTCGAATTGCCTCATGACTGAGCGTAAACATTAAGGCGAAACAATCTGATATCTCACATTTTGTGGGCCAAATGGGCTGCCCTGTGGCATTCCTCTGAAACCCTTCGAAGGAATAGAACCATCGAAAGGCTCATGATACCATCCTTCTTCCGGACCTCAGTGGGTAGGCCTTTCCCAAGGCTTCTCCCAATGGTGGAACCATGGCCTGTGACCGTCATTTGAGACAGGTCCTCGATGCGGCCATTTATGAGGTCCCTGTGGACCATGCGGACCATGTTCATGCATGACTTCTCTCATAGCAGACATGAGTACATAGAACACCTGGAATGTGCAAGCTTTTTAGAAAATTTTCAACAAGCAAAACCTCCGGCAGGTACGGCAATCATTACTCCTCACCGATGAGTGTACGACCTTCAATTTTTCCTTGGCCATCACCATCTGTTGCATCGTCTGGTCCTCGTTCTTCATTATTGCAGTGAGATTTTTGAGAGCCACTGGCAAGGCGTCAATCAGCTTCGCTACTTTGTCGTTCATCTCCTTCATGCGTTTAGAGGTCCATGCTACTTGGAAGTACGTCCTAAGAATGGCTCTACCCTGGTCCTCAGAACGTCTCTACCCTGTTTCAAAAGGCTTAGCCCATTACCTATTCAGGCCATTGGCATAGCGCCGAACGGTATCATTGTAATAGTGTTATCCTGTACCATTCGATGGGTACCGTTTTGCGGTTGGTATATTCGGCTTGATAGAGTACAGCCCTCTTCAGGTTATTGCAAACTGATTAAGGTCGATGTGGCTGTTGAGCTGAGCCAACTTTGTTGTTATAGTCCTATTACAAATCAATCAAATCGTCCTGGAAGGGATCCTCCTCGTTTTTGAGCCTCAGCTACTTCACACATCCATTCTTGGACACAATAGCGGCCTTTTATCTCATGGCCACTAACAGTTCCTTCAAGCACGTGGAGTGCCTTTGTATCTTCACTGCCAATATTCACTTCAACACTAGCATAGGCTTATTTCTTGTTTTGCTTACGTTTATTGTTTACACAAATGAGAACAGTAACTACAAACAACCTCATTTACATTAATAACAACGTCTGAATAGTCGTCGGCTCGATCGTCAAAAGAGTACCGATGCCTTCAACCTAGAACTTTGGTTTCTACCTATAGTTGACCTGTAACTCGACCCATGGACCATGCGTGCGATAGCGTGCGCCACTTGCAACTACACCACTTCTTTTCGCTTGTCACTTGGTTGCGACGATAGCGCAGAGCTCCGGACAATTTGGGCAGGGCAGAAAAGCTTTGGGTATCCATGAGCTATCTTGATTCCTTATTCTTCACTTCAACGACTTGGATAGTCGCGTCGGGTTATCCGATCCTATTTTCCCTTGTACCTCCATGGGTTCTTCCTCATTTCATACGTTCTGGCACCCAGGGCCTTCACGCCTACATATTAGATGTAGTTGTTCATAGCTGATGTTTTTTTCTGAAGATCTTCAGGCCATTCGAAACATCCCGTAAAGGATGGTCAAAATCGCCCCCTTCCAAGTTCTTGGAGCATCTTTGTGCCCTAGCTTCTTTCCGAAAATTCATTTCATATAAGTCTGTTTCAGTTGTAGTTGCTCGGTAATCGACTTTNTTTGTGTAAAGAGACGGCATGCATTGGTCACTGGAATAGCAAAAAGATGAATTTCGCGCCGCCTCATTGATAGAACTCTGAAATAGTTCGAGAATAAGTTGGAGTAGAAATAATGGGTAAACATCGAAGCAAAAAAGTTGATAACGTACATTTTCTTGGACCAAATGGGCCGTTGTGCGGAATACCTTCAAAATCCATTGAAGGCATAAAACCATCGAGATGTTCATGATGCCATCCTCCTTTGCTCCAACGATCTTCTTGGTCGAATGGAGATGGTCCGTGCCCTGGCTCACTGTTCCTCCATCCACCGAATGGTTCATCAGCCGGTCTTCTGTGCCAAGACATTTCCCAAGGCTTCTCCCAATGGTGGAACCATGGCCTGTGACCTTCAAATGGAAAAGGTCTTCCATGCGGCCATGGATGAGGTCCCTGTGGTCCATGTGGACCATGATCATGTATGACTTCTTTTATAGCAGACATCAGTACATGGAACATCTGGAATGTGCAAGCCTCTTAGAAAATTTTCGACATGCAAAACCTCTGGCAGGTACAGCAATAATTTAGCCCCTACCGAAGGGTGTTCAGCCTTCAGTGCTTCCAAGGCCATCATCATCTGAGGCATCGTCTGGTTCTCGTTCTTCATTATTGCAGTGAGGTTCTTAAGAGCCACTGGTAGGGCACCAATCAGCTTGGCTACTTCATCGTTCGTCTCCTCCATGCGCTTCCCCATCTTACCGTAGAGGCTCTTGACTTCTTCCTGAAAAGGTTCAGAAATTCTAATAACGAACTGATTGGCTTCCTGGCATAGCCAATTCACCCACCGTGACGTTATTTCTCTTGGCCCAGACAATGATCATTCGCTTTTGTTCAGCTATAGACAATTTTTCATTGAAGAGGATTTTATAATAGCTCTCTCGAGCCTTACGGCTGACATCATGCAGAAATGGTGGATGATGAAGCTCTTCCAAGGTGAAGAACTGGTGGGCTGCTGTGACGGTAATGAAGAGAAAAATGAGAAGTCTCATTCTGAAAACATGCCTACTCCCTACAATAATATTTTCGGAGCCACAAAAGTGAAAAGAAGGTCGAAGATGAGTAACCATGAACTGTACTCAGAAAATAGAACTTCACTGATGAAGACAACAAAAGGATGCTGAGCCTCTCGGCCATCTGCCATATATTCGGGATTTTGGCGTTGATCTGTGACAGAAAGGTCGATTCAGCTGATGATAATGGTACAGAAAGCCCAGCAATAAAAATATCATTGTCCATTATCACTCAGCTCATCCTTTTTACATAAAGCGAGCGGTTGTTAGGAATATGTTCCGCACCGCTAAGAAGGTTTGCACTGGGGAGGATGAGCGAAAAGAGTCGATTAAAATGGCATGCGATATTGCTGAAATG